GGGCCCCACCCAGGGGCCTAGGACGTTGTAACGTATTTTCGTAATATGGCAGTGCGGCTTTTTGCATTTGACTGATGGTGATTTTGTCAATTTTTAACTGTTTTAAATTATTATTATTATTATTATTATTATTATTATTATTATTATTATTATTATTATTATTATTATTGTTATTGTTATTATACAATTGTATCACAGCGGCCAGATCCAGGCAGTGCGGCTTTTTGCATTTGACTGATGGTGATTTTGTCAATTTTTAACTGTTTTAAATTATTATTATTATTATTATTATTATTATTATTATTATTATTATTATTATTATTATTATTATTGAAAGTCTTCTCTGTATTTAGGGAATTAGGAGATTTTGATGATTAGCTGCAATTGCATTCATATTTTCTGGGGAATAAAGATCATGTAAAAGGGATTTTCAATGCTTCCCATAGGAATAGACACAATCAAAAAGATATGGAAAGAAAGCAACTGGGAAAAGGGGTGCTCGCGAGATATTGTCCAACATCCTCCACACCCTAACAATTTTAATTTTCTTTTATTTGCTTACGGCACACTCCAGTAAAGGCTTCGGATTAAGCCGACTGTTTTCTTAGGATTTTTAAAACTGATCCTAAGTAAAGATATTATTCTTTTGGACTAAAGGTAAGAGATTACAACCCATTGTCAGCCAGATACCGAGCTCGGCAACCGCGCGCCCCCGCGGAACTCTCGTAGCGCTTCTGCAGGCGGAGAACTCAAGCTCCCGTTCAGAACAAACGACAGTTTATGACGCAAAGGCCGCGAGCTTCGCCGCCGCTCACAAGCTCGGAGGCTCTCCTTCCTCCGGGATAACGGTCTTTTCCTCAGAAGAAACAACAACGGGACACCCGAAGCGGCGGCTGGATAAAGTGGAGTGCGACCAGGGGGGAGATGCGGCTCCCGGGCAGTTGAACAGCTTTCGGAACGCATTGACCATAAAAGGAAGGTGTAACTCGGGCCTTTGCCTAGGTGGGTCTGTAGAAGACGAGAATGATAGATTTAGCTGCTGTGTTGTGTGATGCAGAACCATAGACTTAACCATAACATAGGTTAATTATGGTCTAATGTATTATCCCAGTTCTTTTGGTTCAGGAGACCGACCACACCCTAAAGGTAGACATTAGCCTATGTTAGGGGGTGTCAAAATTTCGATTTCCAAACATTAGGGGTGTTCAAAAGTTGTAACATGCCTTGGGGATGGTGAAGATATTTTGGTTTCTTTAATGTAATTAAAGATGCTTGGTAAGTAACTTCATAAACATCAGAACTTTTTAACATTTTGTTTGTTTTACTTATTGCATTGTGCTAACTCATCTGTTGCTGGTTTATGGCTGAGTATGTTGTGCAAAATCAGGAAACTGGGATAAACAACAAACCAGAATTAATCATGCCCTATTGAGTTATGAATAGAGCTATATATTTATCTCCATCTTTGAAGTAATCTTTATATAAGAAATACACACGTATATAAATGAGAGAGATAGACATTATGGAATCCATAAGCAAAGAGACTCTGGGCTTCTGTTTATTCTATGCCTCCAACAAACTTTGGTGTGTGTGTGTGTGTGTTGCACCTCCACAGGAATTGTCAAGAACTATTGGTACAAAGGGAAAGAGGCAGCAATGGAGGGAAGGGATAAGCTACCACCATTGGGGACTGGGCACCTCCACTTCTCAGACATTTTTGAGGCTCTATTGCCACAACAGCTGCACCATCAACAGCCTCTTTGCCTCTCATTTGGATCATCTGGGAATCAAGTGTTATTGATACAAGATGGTCAGCAATTAAATAAATAAAATAAAAATAAAATTCAGTCAATCATTCAGTCAGTTAAGACCAGAGGATGTGGTGGGGGAAAAAAAACTCTTGTATGATCTGATGGTTTCTCTCTTTTTTGTTTTACTTTCTGATAGTGTTTCTCTGGTGATTAGTGGGGTTTTTGTCTGCTTGTGAAAGAATGAGATGGCCATGGGGGATGGATTCTTCTGGGGAGAAGGGTCGCAAGAGCTATATGTACTGGTATGTATGTATAGCCATTTATTGGAAAGGACAGGAGAGGAAGGTTCATGACACAGTGCAGAAACACTTACATGACTGATAGCTGTGTGACCTTTTCCTTCTCCCTTTTGCCCTTGTTATTGTACCTTGAGAGGTCATTATTGAGGACTCTGCCTGAAAGTCTTCTTTTGGATCCAGAAAGCTCTACTTATTTTTGCCATGAGCTCACATATATTATTCCATGGATTGCTGATGCATGTTTTGGAGACTGAATACAGATGGTCATAAATAATATGCTATATGTCTCAGCCTATGGTGAGTTAAGCAATCCCTGATCTCCCTCTTGCAGTGCTTGGAGGCTGTTAAGGGCTAGATGGGAAGCAACAGAACGAAACTGAGCCCTGGGAAGACAGAATTGTGGCAGGTTTGTGGTTCTTTGATCTGTGGAGAATCCCTTCTCATGCTTACTTACACTCTAGTCACCTCTGGTCTTGACTATTGCAATGCGCTCTATATGGGGCTGCCCTTGAAAAATACCTGGAAGTTTCAGTTGTTTCAAAATGTGACAATCCACATGGTTTTGTACAAGCCTAAATTTGCATATGTGTTACCTTTTCTATGGAAGTTTGCTTTGGCTGCCAATTTGCTGCTGGTTTCACTTTTAAAGTTCTATATGGCTCAGAACCACATTATATTAAGGTGTGCTGTCCTGCCCACTCATACACACCCCTAGTTGTGATTTAGTTAGCTTATTAATATTCTCCAGCAATTCCCTTCAACAAAAAACCCAGAACTGAATTGTCCCCATTAAGTCTAGTCATGAATAGTTCAATGTTAGTCCACAGAGCAATGGCGAAAGCATTTGAAAGTTTCTCAAACAAAATAAATCCACAAGGAAAACTTAAAACTCAGGCTTTTCGCAAAGCCGTTAAGACCTGGCTGTTCCAGCAGGCCTGGGGCTGATGAGTTCTCAGCCCCACTCGAATTTGTTGTGACTGCTGAGGAGTTTTTAAAATCTGTTTCCTGTATTGTTTTTTGTTTTGTTTGTTTTGCTTGTATTGTCCCCATTCCCTTTTGGTTTGTTAGCCGCCCTGAGTCCCTTTGGGAATAGGGCGGCATACAAGTCTAATAAATTGAATTGAATTGAATTAAATCCACAACACAAGAGAATTCATGAATCAAGAAAAATAGAGTTTCCAAGGCATGATACAAATCAAGGCACGGTGTCAATGCAAAGTGACAAACACGTTATTTCCCGCAATGCCTCTCTCTGTCTGCAATGCTAAATAGCTAGCTTGGCTTTCTTCTCACAAGTAGTCTGGCTGATCTTCTCTGGTCCTGCCTTTTCTCTGCCCTACATGTTCTTGGATGAGGTGTAGAAAGCAGGTCTTCCTCCTCATTGGCTAACTGCAACTGCATGCTTTCCCTAGTTGGAGCCTCAGTCAAATCCCTTCCAGATGGTTGTTTGGAATGATCAATTAACTCAGCTTTTGATGTGCCAAGAACTGGTTCATCTTCCCCCGAGCTGACATCTAGAGAGGTATCTAGGGAATCGTCCTGGGGAGTCATCACAGAAGGACCATCCTTCTCCAGTCAGATCTACTTGAGCCATCAGAGCGGGGAGGCAGGAAACGCCATGGGGGCCCTCTCCTAAGGAGGTCCATCTGGTGGGCCAAGAAGAAGAGTCTTTTCCATTTTCCTCCCTGTGGAACATCATCCATGTAGGGATAAGATTGGGCTCTACTTTAACACTCTTTCAAAGACCATGAAGACATAGTTAACTGGCCCCAGAGTGATTTGTGGCCCCAAGTGGTTTGTTTGATTGTTGTCACTTGTGGGGGGGGGGGCAGAGTGTTACTGCTTTTTGTATTTTTGTACTGGGATTTTATCCTTGGATAAAACCATCAGGCATGATTTCTGCTATATGGCAGCCTAGGTGATAACCAAAGCAAGCCCTAATTTGTCTTTGCAACTCTGAATAAAGCCATTCACATTTGATCACTCTTGGCTTTGCATGTCTAATAGCAGGAATGTTCATTGGAATCCCTGTGATCATCTCCTTTTCTTGGCTTTAGTTATGACAGCTGCAGGATCTGAAACTTGGAAGGAAAGATCTTGGGTTATATTCCTGACTTTGCCTAACTAAATCTCAGCAACACGTTACATCTGTAGTAATTTACCACCAAATTGTGTTTTTCTGTAGATTTATGATTTCCATCTGCCTCATCTCTTTGTAGCAATACTATAATCATTTTAATTTCTGTATATATGCCGATTCGCAGGTCTACAAATGTCATTTTGATAGCATTAGACTTAAATATAATTTATTGTTTAGGGCCCAGAGCAATTAACTTTACTCATTGATATAGTTAATTAATGGTTTACTATGAAACGTGAACTAAGACATCTAGTTAATTCAGAATATCATGATTCAGTTAATGGGCAGTGCAATATGCAATCAGCCATTAAATGAGATTCAGCCTTATTCCCTCAGCTCGTTTATCTGTTCCATAACTCCAGGGTTAGTGACCATGTGTTACTTAATCCTATTTTTTGCATTTTCTTTTAAGATTGGGAACAATTAACCTGTCTTAGAAGCAATTGAATAATTTCAAAACATTCTGCAGATGCAGGTATGTTGGTTTAAAGATAATTTTAAGGTACATATTAGCTAATTTTATATTATTTTATATTTTGTTGAGCATTCCCCTTCTGTATTAGATTAGATTATGTGTTTAGAATAAGGCTTAATATATGTTTGATGAATAAATGTATGTTAGAGTTGTGTAATGGTTATGCTGTTGATTTAAAACTGGGGAGACTTAGGTTTAATCTGCCTCTAGCCATGGAATTTTAGTAAGCAAATTTGGGTCAGTCCCTTCATAACAGTCTGGTAGCAAAACGTTTGCAAGAATCAGAGACCAAGAATTCCATAGTTCAATCCTGAGCAACATATAATATATTCTCTTCTCTTGATCCTCTTTTTGGGGGTTTTTCACTAGCAACTGTTGCAGTGAGAAAGATATTTCACTACTAAGATATGTGTTGCTTCTTTCCCCCAATTAGCATCATGCTGAAAAGCCAGCTAAAAACTAAACCTCTAATTACAGCAGGCATTAATAGTTTTCCTATTTAAACTAGATGAGCAGAACACAGAAATGTGACCCTGCAACTACACACACACACACACACACACACACACACACACACACACACACACACACACACCTACGTTGAATATATTGAATTAGAGCTCTCCAAAGGCAAGAAAATTTTCCACATATACAAAAACATTAGGATCAAAAAAGGTTCATAAAAGTAGCCATGTATAATTCAAATTCTAATAATTTATCAATTACTAAATAAAGGTCATTGACAGGTATAAATAGCCAGGAACAGGAGTTGAGTTCAAAAGTTTAGTACATGCAACCTATATACAAGAATCTGATTTACTAACTATAAAGCCAAATTGGTGGTAGACAAGAGTTCATGGGGGCTGGACTTGGATCTCTTGTGGGAGCTTAGCAATTCCAAACCAATGACAAGACTAATCCCACTCTCAGGCTAAGCCTGCTCATTTCCTACATCACTCCACCCTCCAACAGGACCCCATCCCGTCTCCATAGGCTCTTCAAAACTGCACGCTCTCTCTCTCTCCTATATGGTCTCTTTGAAGTCTGAGTTCTCATGGGAACTTGATAAAGTAGTCAGTGAAGCTATCTCAATGAAAACTTCATCCCTTGTTTCTGAAGTAGGTACTGAAGCAGGCAGCAGTTGCTGGTACACGGAGATAGAGTTAGAAAAGATCTACCACCACCAATAGAGTTATGAAACCTTGTATTAGGGGTAAATCAGTAATGAAGTCTAGAGAGACTATAGGGCAGGGTTCCTCATACTTTTTAAACAGGGGTTCACTTCATGGTCCCTCAAACTGTTGGGTGGTCAGACCGGCTGGGGGTGTGTGGCTAGGTGGTCATGTGACTGGGTGGGCATGACTAGGTCATGTGATTAGGGAATGTGGCCAATTTAATAGTCCATTGAACAATGCACACAAATTAAACTTTAATTTGTTTTGGTCCTGGGGGTTTTATTTGCTTTTCTTTGCATGTTGCCTTTTCTTTTTACTAGATCATTTTTTCAGTTGTTTAGGGTCTAGTAGTTCACTTCAGAAAACTCAGTTTTGCAGCAATTCTTCTCAGCTCCAAGGAGCATGAGAAATCTCTCTCTCTCTTTCTCTCTCTCTCCCCCTCTCTATTTCTTTCTCTCTCTTTCTCTCTCCCACTCTCTTTCTCTTTCCATTTCTCTCTCCTTCTCTCACTTTGTCTTTCTGTCTCTGTCTGTCTCTTTCTTTCTTTCTTTCTCTCTCCCCCCTCTTTCTCTCTCTCTCTCTCTTTTTCTCTTAATGGCTTCAGTGGGCCATATGCAGCCCGTGGGCCATAGTTTGAGGACCCATGCTGTAGGGCATGGGTATGTGTGAGGAAGGTTGCAAAAGTCCTGCCAACTTCTAATAGAGGGACTTCTGCATTTATAGCAAGGGGCTACATATCCTTGATGCCCATTTCCATCTTAGGCCAACAAAAATAACATAATGTTCTATGCAGAGTTTTGAACACTCCCCCATAACCCGTCTCTCGTTATCATACAAAAACTGCAAACTTTCTTCCCTGAAAGAGGGGGAACTACTATTCTGCCCTTGTGTTTCTAGACTACTCCCTCTACTGTGAATAGGAGTAGTTGCTGGGATTGCCTTGAGATTATCCATCCGACCCAAGAAAATTAAGACCTGGTGTTATTGAATTTCTCCCAACCTCTCCAAGGAATATGTGGTGCATCCAGAAATGGGAAGGCTACAATATTGTTGCTGCTACTACGATAGAATATGTTGAACTTGAGAATATTGTGGCTTGTAAGAAAAAGAATTTGGAATCAAGTGCTTTGAAACCAGGACATAATTGAATGTAAAAGTCAAAGCATGAGAAGAATGAGTTCCATTGGATTTGTCTGGGTAAAAACAGCTTGGTCTTGTTGTTGCAAAATGTGCAGATATTTGTGATCTGTACTGAACTCTATGGGAAAATGTGCATCTTCTGAAAAGTGTCTCCTTTGTCGAATGTGGATTTAACCGCTAGGAGCATCTTCTGAAAAGTGTCTCCTTTGTCGAATGTGGATTTAACCGCTAGGAGCTCCTTGTTAAAAATGTTATATTTCCATTCTGGTAAAGTCAAAGCTCTTGAGAAAAAAATACAGAACAACAGGCATTTCTACCCCTCCCACACCTGATTTCTAATCTGAAGTATTTTTCTGAACAATAAATCTATTTGTTGTGTCAAGTTGCTGATATAGGAGTTGACAGCCAGAGTTGCTTTAACTCTTTAAATTCTGATTATTGTGTGTGAGACCAAGCAAATCTAATTCCTTTCATTTTCAATTGGATAAGCGTTTTGACTTTATATCCACAGAACAGATCAGAATATCATTCAGATAAAGGACTACAAATTTATCAATGAAATCAGAAAAAAACTTGGTTCATAAACCTGGAAATAACACTCCTGACCAACAGGATCATTTTGCATTCAACTTGTTGTACCTGATGTTGAAAATTTGCGTCCCTCTTTGATGCTAATGAAATTGTAGGTATGGGCTGTTGTCATTTTCCTGGTTCTGTGATTTGCATTCAGAATGGCTCTCATTAGAACTATGGTTGGAACACATGTCTCCTCTCCTGGGAGGGTTGGAAGTGCAATCCTTGACCACATGTCCCGATTCTCTATAATAGAAACAGAGTGGTAAATTTCTGCACTTCTGCCATTTTTCTGCAGCTAGGAATTTTCTGGCTTCATCAATTTGCATAGACTCCTTTTCCCCTTATCAACTTCAATTGGTGTTAAGGGACTGAAGATTGGATATGGGAATAGAGGAGCTGTTAGCTTGTGATACTTGGAGCAAACCCTGATCTCTTCTAAATGTGAGAATTATAATGTAGATTCTGTAGACTTGATCCACTATCTGGAGGTACGCCCTGCCTGATGAGTTCATTTTCAGTTCTGCCACTGAGACGAAGTTTCCCAAATTGTATCATTAGGGAAACTTCATTCCAATTCAAATCAGCTGCAAACAATTTGAATTTTTCAATATAGAGTCTTATTCTCTGGCTGCCTTGTTGGAGCTCTTGAATTATGCATATTATGGTGTTTTCTTTGATGGGATTCCTGAATTATTTCTAAAATATGCTAGGAAGTTTTGATAGTTATCCATGATGGGACCTTGTGCTTAATCATGGGGAGTGCCGTTCCTGGAGGCTGAAGCTGTTGAATGGGCTGAGAATGAAGGATATCCATTAAAAACTTCACTGGTCTGGTGCCGATGAATAGTTTATATTTGGCAAGATATATTCTCATCTTGTTTGAATCTCCTGCAAATCACACAGGTAGACAGCTAGGGGTCCTCTGCAGCAGGGCATTGGAAACCAGCATGTGATCAAGAGCTGGCACCAGTGTTGGTGGAGGAAATTGTTGAGCTAAATTTTGCATCTGTTGAAGCATCTAGTGTATATTAGCTGCTATATTTTGTACTTTTGCACTCCTGGGGGCTGGGGGGGCCTGTTTTTTGCTCATTTTTGCCCTCCCCAGCCCCCAGGAGCACACTGGAAGCGTCCTAAAGGCTATGTATGGCCATTTTGGGAAGGGGTCAGAGTTTCAGAAGGCCAAAAATGCTGTATTCAGTGTATAAGACGCATCCAGATTTTCAGCCTCTTTTTTGAGGGGGAAAAAGTATGTCTTATATTCCAAAAATATAGCCTGTACTATGCTTTGTTTTATACATAGAACAAAATACAGTTATTTCAAATGTTCTAGGCTGCTTCCAACTGGAGTGCTGTTTTATATTATAGCAGGATTATTAAAAAATATAATTCTAGTTAATACTGAGCAATAGTTTCTTAGTTGCTTAAGTCCCTGCTGCTGCTGACTTAAATTGGGTTAGATGGGATATGTGAGAGAATGACTGGTCCAAGGTCATTTAGTTGTATTCTATGCCTAAGAGATAATTAGAACTTATTTTTCCCACTTCTAGTCCAGCACCCTAACCATTACAGTACTGGTTCTCCAGGAGTGAAATTAATAAAACCATTATATTAAATAGGTTCTAAAGTATTGTTCATACAACTTGAAAACTGAAAATGAAGACATTGAAAGAGATGGTAGGTTAGATTAAACTTCCTGGAATGCAGGAAATTTATTGGGATAGTTTTGAACGTGAAAAATATAGTGCTTTATAATGTATTAAATGTTTTCAAAGTTTGGAATGAAATATTTATTATTTGTTTTTGAAAAGATTATATAACCAACACAATGATTGCAACAAAACTAAAACAAAAAACAATTGACAAGTCACCTCTGGGAACAAGGAAGAAAGGAGGAAAGCAAAACAGATATGAAGCTAACCCAATGGTTTTAATGCCTGCAACTCCCAAAGAAACCATTACACAATATTCTCTGGGTCTTACCACAGGAAACAAAGATAGAATGTTTGATGAAATGGATATGCTTAGGAATATTACAACAAATCTAAATGAGGTAGGTTAATCATTAACATTGTTTATTATTCCATTTTTATCCCTTGTTTGTATGTAATTGAATCAAGGCAGTGAATGTACTTAATACTACAGTATCTTACTTTACTGACAAGTACAACTCTGCAAATAGATAACTCTTTTTGAAAATTAATGTACTTTTTCAAGGAACTTAAGGGAATTAAATATCAGGGAAGCATGTATTTAGATAAATGTGTTATTCAGGATAGCTAAACAAAAGATTATGATTTTAAGGAGGCTCCATTTATTTGTGGAGTTTGTGAAGCCTCCTTAAAAATTAGGGAAAAAAAACATTTGCCCTATAGTCTCAGACAAATACTACTTGCTAGGAGAAGAGCATGAGGTTGCTATGAGACCGATTGCTTCTACAAAAAAGCTGAGCTTCATATAGTATTGGCGAAGCTCCTCTGCAAAAAATATAAAGGTAAATTTGATGCTGCTGGGCCCTGGAATAGGGTGGATAGTGGACTGAATCCTGCAAGTTCTTTGGGTGGCTGGATTTAAAGAAAGCCTCAACCTACAGGTTGTAACTACTCTCCATGTGTCAGCCACTTCTGCTGACTAGATTTAGGCTCCATTGACTGAATAGTGAACTTGGCCTATAGGCTGCAACTGCCTTTCATGTGCTGGTTGCTTCTGTTGACTGGCTTCAGGTTTAGACCTGTGGAACACTGAGGGCCAGGAAGCAGAACACTGGGTGCCTCAGAGATGAGGAAGCCTTGAAAGGCCTAGAGAGGTTTGCAGAAGTGTGGTAGGGTCTGGGCCTGTGGTAGGCCTCCAAGGGCCTCCCCCATCCCTATGGCACCCCACATTTCACCTAATGACCCACACATTTATTTAATGATTGTGTTGGGGAGAGCAGGGATAGGGGGTTGTTAAATGAGATGCTTCACTTAACAGCGATCATGACATGTGATTGTAATGGGCAGGCTTCATTATGGTCATAAGTTGATGACTACCTGTATATTTAAAAAGGTCACATTGTAGAAGATGCACATGTTTACATAATAAAGATCAGTGTATGCTTTGGTTTGATTAATGGATTTTTCTCTTAGAATGAACAAAGGTATTGCCAGAGAATATGACTTTAACAATTAAAAGGATTTGCCAGACTTATTTAATACAAATATTCTTTTTTGCTGAATCTTCATTTTCTTGCCAAAATCCAACAGCTCTCCATGCAGATTGAGAGTTATTTATTACTTATTAAATTTATTTGCCACCTACCTCACCATGGGGCTATTCTAGTGGGCTTACAACAATAAAAGAAAGAAATGAAAGAGTGTAAACAGAACAGACGTAAAATAACAGAACAACAAATGAAATTAAAGAGAATGTTTGAACAATGAAGTTTATAACTACTATATTGAAAAGTCATCTTTGGTTCCAATTGAGAATGCAGCAAATAATTGGAAAGTAAATCACATAATACTTGAATAATGACAATTACTTAATTTAATGTACATTTTCCAGAATGTTTTATCTCTCTAATGTAAAGGCAGATCACAGCAGATGACACTATGCAGTTGGTCTGAAAAAAAGAAAAGAAAAGGTGGTTTAAATGAACAGGAATTCTTTAAAAATCTGAAAGTTGTAACTCAGTGGTGTCAAACTCGCATCGTCATAGCGGCATCATGTGAGGTATTGGGACTTTTTCTCCCTTCACTAAACTGGGTGTGGGCATGGCAGGTGCGTGACGCATTCAGCCTGTGGGCAGGTAGTTTGACACCCATGTTGTAAGTGAACAGAGTAATTGAAAAAGAGATTACAAAAACAAAAAGAAAAGAACACGGAGCTTGATTATTTGATTATCACCCAGTGACATCTAATTATCCCATATGGGATAGCAGAAAAGGTGTTATCTCAAAAAGAAGGTAACTGTACTGTTTGTGAATGATAGTGGTCTCCTGATGACTAAATTAATGTGTTGTTTTAATATTTTCTTTGTGTGGTGGTTTCATTCTGGTTGTTTTTTTTTTGGTATTGTTCATGTTTTAATTGTAAGCTACCCAGAGTCACAAATGTAAGATTTGTATATAAAGCACCCTTGGATCATTGTCAAAAAAACCTGATAAGTATATTTTGTCATCAGTGATCAACCTTGAGGAGGCAGTCTTTCTTTTATAATGTTATAAGTTCTGAAAACTACAGGTTGTTGAACACAAATGCATAAAAGTTACTAAAACTGAAGGAAAAGAGAAATCTATTAGATAAGACTTAATGATCTAGGTTTGTAACATTAGGAAAATAGGAAGCATTGCCAATGAGAGATTAGAACATTATTTGAATTTTTTTTTGCAGATTGTACATACAATGGAAGGTGTCTATAGAAAGGAAAGTCAAGATAAAGAAAGAAAAGAGGAGGAGGAGGAGGAAGAGGAAGAAGAAGAAATGCCTGTAAATAACAAGATATCCTGTTTAAATAGGCCTCATTTTATCATGTGATGTTGGTTTTAGACTAAACACATATTAATGAGCAGTAACAAAAGATGTAATACAGGTAGTTCTTGTTTAACAATCACAATTGAGACCAGTAACTTGGTCATTAAGTGAAGTGGGTGCTAAATGAAACCACACTTTTACTTATGACATTATTTTGTCGTTCCTTTGTTTTATCTGCAAAGGTTATAAATTAGAGGATTGGTGGCAAAAGTATTTTTTCATCACTATTGAATGGTCACTATTAAATGGTCAGTTGCTAAATGAGGACCAGTAATAATTTGTTCTGAATTAATATATTGTGAAATTATGCATAACTACAATTAATGTTAAGTTCCTTGATTTCAGCCACTCGTAATCTAAATTCTGGGCTCTATTGTGCTTATAAGTTGAAAACTACCTGTACTACCATAGGCTTTATGTAAGGGTATTCTTGAAGACAATTCAGAAGCTATAAATGGTGCAGAATATAGCAATCAGTTTTATGACTGGTTTAGCAGTATAATACTTGTTCTACAGGAACTGTATATATTACCAGTAGAACTTTATTTCAAACTTCAAGTGAATACCATGTTTCTCCGAAAATACGACCTGTCCTGAAACTAAAGCCTTGCCACATTTTTCACATGGGAAAAATATAAGCCCACCCCTGAAAATAAGCCCCCTGGACAATCCCGTCCCTCCGCCCAGGCAGAGCACCGCTCGCCAACCTAGAGGTATCCCGAAGGCGCCAAGCTGCGGAACAAGGTGGGGTGCAAAAGCGCTCACATTGCTTGGTGCTTTCGGGGTACCTCTAAGTCGTTCAGCGGCGCTGTGCCCAGCTGAAGAGGGGGGGGGGTTGCTGGGCATCTGCTCTCTTGCGAGCGGCCTCCCGAAGAGTCAGGCACAACCTCAGGGTCGAATGACTGTGTTGTGCTGTTGCAACAGCAACACAACAGCCATAAGGTGACCATGCTTGCGAGCAGCCGCCCAGCAACCCCCCTTTCCAGCCAGGCATAGCGCCGCTGACTGATCCAGCGGTACCCGGAAGGCACCAAGCAACACAAGCGCCTGTTTGCCGCCCTCCGCCTCCTGTGGCTCGGCACCTTCGGAATGCCTCTAGGTGAGTGAATGGGGCTCTGCATGGCTGGAGAGGAGGGTTGCGCGAGCGGCTTTTCCACTCCCCACTCGCACGACTTGCAGGCTCACGATGCCCTTGGCTAATTCTATAGTACCTGCAGAGCCACCTGCCACTTGGGGTTTTTTTTTCGTCTTTCAAAGCACGGACGATGGATGCCGCTCTGGGACACACTTTATGGTTGTTCGCTCTGCAGCCCACAACCATAGAGCGTACTCCCAGAGTGGTATCCGTCCTCCGAGCTTTGAAAGCCAGAAAAACCCCAAGCGGCGGGCAGCGCCAGCAGCAGAGATGCCCTGACTCTGCAGATACTGTTAGCCAAGGGCATCGTGAGCCTGCGAGTCATGTGAGTGGGGAGCGGAAAAGCCGCTTGCGCAACCCCCCCCCTCCAGCCATGCAGAGCCCCATTCACTCACCTAGGAGCATTCCAAAGACACTGAGCCACGGGAGGCAGAGGGTGGCGAACAGGTGCTCGCGTTGCTTGGTGACTTCTGGTTATTGCTAGATTGGTCAGCGGCATTGTGCCCGGCAGGAAAGGGGGGTTGTTGGGCGGCTGTTGGGGGTGTTGTCACTTAATGGCTGCTGTATTGCTGCTGCGACAGTGCAACACAGCCATTCGGCCCTGACGCTGTGCCCGGCTCTTCGGGAGCCCGGTCTCAAGGGAGCAGCTGCCCGGCAACCCAAAAACAATAAGCCCTCCCCTTTAATAAGCCGAAGGCCATATTTTGTGGGTCAAAAAAATAAGACCCTGTCGTATTTTCGGGGAAACACGGTAATACTTATAAAACCTCTTAGATTGGATCCCTGTTATCAGCAAGATTGTTTTCTTCATGTAGAATCTATCTAATCTATATGTGCTAAGTGAGATCTTTGCTAGCTGACTAAAAAAAAATCAGGAGGTCTGGAATCTAGAAATTAAGCTCATCAGCCCCCTATGAAGCAACTGGAACCTACCATTTCAGTTTACATAGGGTTGTATCCTAGCTAATATTTTCATTCTTAATTTATATAAGTAAATGAGGACTAGTAATGTCATTACTTCATTTAAATGATAAAACTTGCAACTTTATTTTAAAAATAAGAATTGTAATAAGATTATTACAAATCTCAGAAATAGTATTCCCTAGCAATATTTCTAAAATAAAAATACTGTATGTATATTTTTCTCATTGGAAGGAAGATTATGAAGATATGACTTCTTTCCTGATATGTTGTTCACAACTTAGGACACAATTGGAAAATGCAGTTCGTGAAGAAAAGCAAGTATGTATAATGTTTATTGTACTGCATAAGATTTTATTTACTGTTAATTGTCATATTTTGTTACAGTAGAAAAAATTCAGCTATAGTGTACATAATAATTTCCACTTTCTTTGGAAATTTAGAATAGATCAAGGACAATTTCATTGTTACAGTATTGTCATCAGTTGTATTTTTGCTTGCTGTAGGCTCTAAAATGAGCAGCTTTCTGTTTCAATAATATGGTAAGCACATGGTAAATCCCTTCCTCCATTGCAAAAATACAAAGATCAACCTAGCAAAAAAATCTAGTAAGAGAAACCTTTTCCTGCTCAAGCTGACATAAGGAGGCATGATTTGGAAATCTAAACATTTCTCACTTTGTTACTTTGTATTACAATTTTTATATAATAAAATTGATGGTGATTTATAATATATATATTATATTATAAATATATAAAAATATATTTTCTTTCTTAGATATTAGAGTCATTGCTTAAGGTAAGAAATTTTTGATATGTATCTTTAAAATCTTTAAAATATGTTTTATTTTGAAAAAATGTAATCTGTTAATATCTAATTTTATTTTATTTTATTTTTTTCTCAAGTGGTTTGAAAGGGAAGTCCATGAGATGGAAGAGGTAAACCTAGAATTTTGATTGTTAAGGTCTAACACAACTATTTAGAAATATGTGGTAACCATGTGAATTGTATTTTTATATATTCTACTGTTTCTTTATGTTTAATTTTAGAATAAATAAAAGGACACAATATAAGGCTTAGCTTTTTTTATGTGAGCAGGTACAACAGACATTTGGGATTAATCTTAATATAATTAAAAGTATTTCTATAATAATAGCTAATTACAATATATGAAAAAATCTCAAAACAAAAATGAATTATTTTCATTGTCCCTTGATTCATAGCCCTCAAAACAATTTCTTAGTATTTGGCTATAATTCACTGAATCTTCCAAGGACCACACTTATTTGAAGCATACTTTCCACCACTCTGTACCATCAATCGGCCAAATTCCATTCGTTCTAACTCACTTATTAGGGTTACTCTAGCTAGTACATAAGCTCTTCTCTCCACTCCAGTGTCTCTTTCTCACCAACAACCCCATAAAATATTTTTACTTTTCCCACTTATCATTTCTTGCTGCTCCTGTCTCCCACTGTTGGGGAGATTACAACACTTGTGTCTAGTTACAATTGTAATAACCAAACAGACATGAACAAATTCAGATATAAATTTCTCTCCGTGACTTTTCTATGCCTATGGCATGGAAAATATTCTATATTATTCTGGAGCATCTAAAGTTGCTCTGTGCTGGCCAGGCCCAAAGGATCCCCAAACTGGCTACCTTCTTGCATGTAGTTTGATTTATCACAATTGTAGTGTTAGTGCCTTTTCCAACGGCAGTGGGATGCTCTGGTCCATTATCCCACCTCTCCGATTGCCTATTACAGTAGAAAACAATCACATTCCATAAAAATAACCACCTGTTTTTTTATCCAGCTTGGCATATCCTGGCCAATCCAAAATAACATTTTCCCACTTCATATCAGTCTCATTCTCATTATTAGTAAAGTATATTTTCTAGTTCATTTTAAGAAATTGATCTGTTTATGCTTAGTGGGTTGGTAGATGATTTATTAAAAATGCATTAATTTTGCTTTCAGGTAAATGCAAGATTTTAATTATTATTATAAATAATTTAAAGTTTGAAAGTTTGCTTTTATATTATAAGTAGTCCTTGAGTTATGACCACCGTTGAGCCCAACATTTCTGTTGCTAAGTGAGACATTTGTGAAGTGAGTTTTGCTCCATTTTATGACCTTTTTTGCCACAGTTAAATGAATCACGGCAATTGTTAATTGGTAACATGGTTGTTAAATGAATCTGGCTTCTCTATTGACTTTGCTTGTCAGAAGGTTGCAAAATATGATCACATGGCCCCGGGACACTACAACTGTTATAAATATGAGTCAGTTGCTAAGCGTCTGAATTTTGTGTCACGTGATCGTGGGGATATGCAATGGTCGTAAGTATGAAAACCAGTCATAAATCACTTTTTTCAGTGCTGTTGTAATTTCTAACAGTCATTAAACAAACAGTGGTACATCGAGAACTCCCTTTATATATTTTACAATAAGTTAATATTGTATAGGCAGTTCTGCTATAATGATATACAAAGTACATTATTTGAAAGTGAATGTGATGCTTTTTTTCAAGCTAATTGAGAAAATCTCTGTTAATATACAACATATTATTTTAATACTTCGTTATCTAACTATATTTCAGTTAGGTGAGGAAGAAATTATCCCAGACTGGCAAGTTCCTCTAGCAGATAAAAGCATAACAAATAATATCAATCAGTTACTGAATCGCATTCAAAGACTTGAAGAACTAAAAGGCCGTGTTCAAGAACTACCCAAACTTATCCAGTTTTCTATACCTAAACAGTAAGAATGCCATGAAACAGACTTATGTTTAAGAAATTATGATATCAATAATATAAAATATGTTTATTATAAAGATAGTTATAAAGATTATTATAAATCAACATATACAAAGTATAATATTTTGTTTTCTAGGCACTGCCACAGTATATTTCCTTCATAATTTAATTGTATAATTATATTAAAATTTCCCTAATAAACAAATGCTTAATATAAATTGTTTTGTTCATTGTTTCTCTGACTTCTACAAGTAATAGGGAAATTAAAGGGGAAGCATTGTTCTTTGCAAGAATGAAATACCAATGATGCATAGCTTGCAGGGTTTTATGCACACACACACACACACACACACACACACACAGAGCCAGAGACAGAGACAGAGACAGAGAGAGAGAGAAGTTGCAATTACTTGTCATTGCAAGCCTCTAATGTTATTCACAATAAGTCTGAGTTTGCAAAATCAAGAGGCAAAGTGAAAGGCAAATGCAAAGTCCAAGGGCAAGGCACAAGTCCGCAGGTTCACACACAAAGTCCAAAGTTTAGGCACAGTCCAAAGTCCAACCACAGTAACTAAAGCCAAGGTCCAAGTTCAGAATCCAAATCAAATCCAAGGTCCAATCACAAGGTCAGCAAACAAGGCATAGGTCCGGAATCATGAAAGCAGGAATCAAAAAGTTGAAGTACAAGCACATGCGGTTGTTTGCTACATCGCTTTGCTCCATGCACCAGTTAAGTAGCCACCAGTCAGTGCAGCTCATTACGATGGGTGTGGCCACCTCTTTGCAAGTAGCCTTGCCAACCACTGCTATGGCTGCCTCCTTTTGGCCCTGCATTGCCTGGATCTATGAGGGAGGCAGTTCCTCATCCTCACTAACTGATTGCAGCTGTGCCCCTTCTCTGCCTTGTGCTTCTCACTAGTCATCTGATCTTCCTAGCTGCAGCTGCATCTTTTCTATTTTCTTTTCAGCCAGGTTCATCCAATTGCCCCTCTGACAGCGTTTCTGAAATTCCTGGCTTCTCTTCCTCCTCTTGCCAATCCACTCCTGGTACAGAGCCCTGCATCTTCCTGATTGTGCTGTCCCACTCATACACACACATGCATGTAATCATAGTTTAATTGGCTTACACAAGCAGACTAATGCTAGTCCACAAAGCAATGGCCAATGAGCTCACAATGCACTTGAAAGTTTCCCAATCAAAATAAATGCACCAGGCAAAATTAAATCCACAATACAAGAGGGTTCATGAGGCAAGAAAGGTTTAGAGTTCATAAGGCCCGATCCAAGTAAAGGCAAAGTGTCAATCTAAAGTAAGTCAGGAATCACAATGACCAGAAAAGGTATGCCTAGGAAATGAACTCATTCTAAATAGCTAGCTTTTGGTGCAGCCGATAAAGAAGGGTAATGCTTTATCCTTAAGAGTAATCTGGCTGACTGCTACTGCCTTTTCTCTGCACTATGTGTTCTTGGATCAGGTGCAGAAGGCTTTTCCTCTTCCCCATCCCTGACTGGCTGTAGCTGCATGCTTTCTCCATCTGATGCCTCAGGTATATCCTGCTGTAGTTGTGCTTCAACCAAATCACTCTCAGGCGGTTGCTTGGAGCCATTGACCAATTCCCCTCCTGATGTGCCAGGAACTGATTCATCCTCCCCCAATCTGGGGAAGCATCTGAGAGAGGCATCACACTGATGCTGCACTGTGCCCCACTCTGATATCCTGAGAGCCAGTTTTCCCTGCTCTGAGGAAGCGTAGCATAGCATAGCATAGCATAGCATAGCATAGCATAGCATAGCATAGCATAGCATAGCATAGCATAGCATAGCATAGATTTATAAAGTAACCCATATTCCAGAATTGAAAATAATTTGTTTAGCAACAATGTGATGATTAATAATTTTGACTACTTTCTTAGTTTATTTTTTTATTTTAAACATATAAACACATCAACAAAAACAAACACATAACTTAAAACAACATAGGAACAAGAAGTTCCATCATATATCATGCAGCAGTTCTGTATCTGTTTCTTTACAGTTAGTGTTTTCCCTTCTATACATTTCTATCTTGCGTTCATGGTCTCCTCATTCATTATCCATTTTTATGTACAATTCTATATTTATTTATACTTAGCTATTTATAACAAAATATTGTTTACCTATATTGTGTTTTATATTCTTACTGTTATTTATTCTGTTACATACAATTATAGGTATACATTCACATAGTTATTCTTTTTCTTTGCCATTCTTATACTTTTGTTATTCCATTTAACAGGTTATAATATACGGTTTGAGTTGCTTTGTTTACCATCCCTAGCGCCTGTTGTAACACCACCTTATTTTCCCTTTCTTTTCTCCCTCCCTTCCTTCTCTACTTCCTTTCTTCTTCCTTTCCTTCCCCTTCTTTCTTCCCTTACCTCTCCCCTACTCCTACCCTTTCTCTTCCCCTTCCTGCCCTCTCTCCTTCTCTTTCTCTCCCTTCCACCCTCCTCTCCTTTCCCTTCCTTCTTCCCTCCCTTCTCTACTTCCTTCCTCCTCTCCTTCCTTCTTCCCTCCCTTTCTTTTTCTATTGTTATAGGTGTCTCTTTCAAATCTCAGTTTATTTTTTCTTGGGGATGGTATTTCCACGAACCCATATAGTTTTGTATCATTTCCTTTTTTCTCTTTCGTTCTACAGTCTATATGCCAGCCATCATCCTGATTTGATGGCTTATTCCAAGTAATTCAGTCTGACTACTTTAATTTTCTGTGCTAATTCCTTTTGAGTTATTAAATTGGTCTGCCCACTCATTTGGTTCTATTTTAATTTCATCTACTTGATTATGTAGCCCAGATGAAATCCAAGCCCTGTCAATTCTTACTTCCTGTATACAGGCTATATCTATTTTCATTTTCTTAAGTTTATTAAATATCTGGACTCTTTTTTTGGGGGGGTGCATTCAGTCTATTCAAGTTTATCGAGATAATTGTTATTTTTTGATCCATCATTAACTGGGTTGTTGTTTTTTTTACTTCTAGTTTGTATCTGACTTTTCCCTCTCACGCCTTCGTTCTCTGCTCTCTGTCTTTCTTTCCTCTGTTGTTCTCTCCTATTTCTTTCCTTGTCACCTAATGTTTCTTCCTCTCGACCCCTACTTTCTAGTCCCTCTTTACTTCTTTGTTCTTCTTCCGCTTTGCTATATTCTTCATAGAATTTCTGTGCTTCTTCTGTATTCTCTATCTCATATCTTTTTCCTTGCCAAGATATCAGAACCTCTTCTGGTACCAACCATGTGTACATTTTATATTTTTATTTAACTGGTTTGTTAAAAATTGGTACTGCCTACATTGTTCCCGAATTCTCTGTGGAATCTGTTTAAGCGTGATCAACTAACTCTTTTCCCTGTCGTCTCTTCTCTATTTTTTTTGTACACTTCATCTCTCGTTGTTTTTTTAGCAAATCTTACATGCACTTCTCTCAGGAGTCTATGTCTCCTGGCATAGTTAGTATGCACCCAATAAGCTTCATCGACTTCTCCTCTCAACTCTTGTTCTTTTCTTTGGAGAATTTCAGTGAAGATTTCAGTCATATTTCTTTTCGAGTTTCAAGTTTAATAAAATTTGTATGTCGTCCACTCCCATTGGGACTCTGGGCGGCTCACAACAAGACAAAAGAAACATTTAAAATTTAAAAATAGAAAATACAATATTAAAATTCCACATCATCCATTCCATCTAAGCGGGGCTGGACATCAATCAACAGCCCCAAGCCTGCCGGAACAGCCAGGTCTTGACGGTTTTACGGAAGGCTGGGAGAGTGGTAAGGGTCCAGATATCTACAGGTAGATCGTTCCACAGGGCCGGCGCAGCAACAGAGAAGGCCCTCCCCCGGGGGGCCGCCAGCCGGCATTGTCTGGTTGATGGCACCCGGAGGAGGCCCAACCTGTGCAATCTTGTTGGTCATTGGGAGGTAAGTAATGGGAAACTTTTTCTTTTTTCCCCCTTTCTC